TTTGACAAAGTTCCCCATGGCAGGCTCATCTCAAAACTGGAGTATTATGGAATCCAAGGAATAACACTGAATTGGTTAAAGGCTTTTCTAACCAACAGGGAGCAAACAGTAGTGGTGGAAGGAAAGGCTTCGGCTCCAGTTAAAGTAGCGTCAGGAGTTGAACACACACACACAAGGAACTGTCCTGGGACCATTACTATTCCTCTTGTATTTCAATGCCTACCAGGTCAGCTTGACTCAAAGGTGAGATTATTTGCCGATGACTGTCTGTTATATGTAGAGCTATCTACACAGAATGAATCACAACTTTACAAAAAGATCTGAACACGCTGGAGGAATGGCAAAGCAAATGGCTCATGCAGTAAATGCTACATTATGCATATATCAAATGAAAGCACTAAACTTGGCATGAAGGTTTGAGATCGCCGAACTCTAGTTTTGCATGTTTTCTGTAGGTGACAACGGTTCCAGAACAATTATTGTGGGTGCCATTCAGGTAAGGTTTCTCTTTTTTTCGTGTTGTATTACAGTTCCATGCACTGCTTTGAAAAACAACGTACAAAGCGTACCCCACTCTAAACCAGCTCTTACGTCGACATACTTCTTTAACCGTGATTCACATTACTCTGAGTAAGCTTATGGACTGGAGTAATGACTCGTAATAAACTGACCGTTATATCGGCCCCCGTCGCGCCTTGACTGTAGTTTTGGTGACGTGAAACTACCGTCAAGATCAGGTCTTCCTCCTTGTGTTCCTGTTTCCTCCAATCTCAGAACCCCAGCTTCCTGCATAAGAGAGAAGATGGGACGTTTGAGGGGTACCACGTGGATCTCATGACGGAACTGTCGGACCTCATAAGATTCGACTTCGTCATCAAGGAACCTGCCGACATGAAGTACGGGTCCCTGCGGGAGGACGGGACCTGGACTGGCATGGTCGGGGAGCTTGTCAGAGGGGTAAGGCAGATAGCCGAGTAGGTGTGACCTCTCGAACACTACCCAACATCCGCGGTTGGGTTAAGGCGGCCCAGGCTTATAGAAAAGTAAACATATTCTATACATTTGCCTGTAACTTTTCATAGTTTAGTCGCACTGCGGCGAAACGTCACACAGCCTGGGTGCCATCCTCCGTAGTTTTTGCCCGCTCACTAACGTCACTGGC